AGGACTTAACCCACTTTCCTCTGGTTCACCCCCATGCCTTCCTCAAAGAGGGTTAAAACTCCTTTTTGCTCATCCCCTGTCTCTCTTCCAGTGGCCATCAAAACAATGAACAAAGTTGCCAGCCACATTAATGAAATGCAGAAAATCCATGAAGAGTATGGGGCAGTGTTTGACCAACTCATAGCGGAACAAACAGGGGAGAAAAAAGAGGTAACAATCAGATGTAGAGAGAAAATGGTTATTTTAGTGCCTGTTAAGCTGGAGCCAGTATTTATCTTTCCTGTTGTGCCACTGAAGTAAATCCTGGTGCAAACAGATAAATCCCAGCTCAGTTGAAGACCTGAACTGAATTCAGACTTCACTGAGGGGAGGGTGAACGGGTGGGATAACATCTCCCTGAACTGGGGATGGCCCTCACTTGTCACTCTGGGGACCATAAGGACAAAGGTCTGGTTGCTGCATCTCCCAGCAGTTGGGAACTCCTTTCTTAGTGTGTTCCTAGCAGTCGGGTGTCCAAAGAGGAGCCTTTGGGCAAGATCAAGATCCACAGCAACTGTGGGGAGGGGCTGCTTTGGCTACTGCACCTGATGTAGTTTCTAAACCTCACCCCAAACTGACTATGTGCTTAAATATTCCAACAAAATTCAAAGAAACTGATAGGGAGAAAAATGGACAAAGTGGAGCAAAAGGCAAAGAAAACATCTGGTTTTGACCCTGACTTCCAAGAGCTGGGCTCTTGAGTTTAACTGACCCTAATTTATGCTCATTAATTAAGGGTTTACATGCATCTGTTTGCAGTCAGCTGATTAAATACTCCAGAAGTTTTCTGGGGGGAATTTTGTTCAGGACTAGACTTCATGCAAGTTTTCTTGAGCTGAAAACTGACATCAGATTCCTTGGGCTGATTAAAACCCTTGCCTTTGTGCATGTGTTGGTGTTGGCAGGTCGCCGACCTTTCCATGGGGGACTTGCTGTTGCATAACACAGTGATATGGCTGAACCCTCCTGCTTCCCTGGGCAAGTGGAAGAAGGAACCTGAGCTGGCAGCATTTGGTTTGTATCCCTGGACTTTTATTTCACCCGCCTTAAATACTGGTAGCTGTGCCTTAGCAGATGTTGAAAGTTTCTGAGCATTCCCCAGGGCCGGCTGAAATTTAAATTTGGCCTTGTCTCTTAGCTGCAGTGCTCACTTCTGCCCTCTGGTAGTTTTCCTGGCTCAGGTGAAAGGTTTGTGTGCTTGGGAATAGAGGGCACCCATTCCAAGCCTTATGGATGCTCTTGAGGGGACAGGCTATCAGTCCACACAGACATCCCATCAGTCCACACAGACATCCCATCAGTCCACGCAGACACCCCATCAATCCACACAGATATCCCATCAATCCCCACAGATACCCCATCAATCCACACAAATGTCCCCAAGGGCTGTCATAGGATGGTGCCACACTCTGCTCAGTGGTGCTAGTGACAGGATGAGGAGCAGTAGCCATGAACTGAAACACAACAAGTTCCACCTCAGCCTGAGGGAGAACTGTCCATGGAGGAGGCAGAGCCCTGGAACAGCTACTCAGGGAGGGCATCCCCAAAATCCCAAATTCCTGTGTCACCTGCTGCAGGTGACCCTGCCTTGGTAGGGGGGTTGGTCTGGGTTATCTCCAGAGGTCCCTTCCAACCCAAACCATCCCAGGATTCTGTAATTGTGTGACTCCATAGCTTTTGTCTCTAACATTCTCCTCCAGTGTTCAAAACTGCCGTGGTTCTTGTGTACAAGGATGGTTCCAAACAGAAGAAGAAACTTGTAAGTGTGCAGGGACTGTTTGAGTGATGCCGCGGGCATTTCTGGGGCTGTGATGGAGTTTTGCTTCCCACAAAGTTGTGGAGCTGGAATGTGCTCTGGCATGTGTGGTCCCTGGTGCCTGGGGAGCTGAGTGGGTACAGCAAGCATTCCTTTATCATTTGTTGCCATGCTTGCCACATCCATTCCCTGCTGGACGAAGATGTCAGTGTGAGTGTGTCTCTTGGCTTAGATTCTTTGGTCAGTGTGTGTGAGTGTCTGAGAGCTAATTAATGTCTGTCACCTCACACAATGCCGTGAGTGTTGTGTGCCACCAAGCAGGTGCTGGCTGCTCTCAGCTACATCAGGAGTGGCTCAGGGATCCCACTGGAGTTTGGGATTCCAAGCTAAAGCTGGGCTTGGCACTGCTACAATGGGGGCACAGTCTGTAGTGATACAGGGAAACTAGTGATCCCTAGCTATGGCATAAACCAGAGAGGGGGTGGAGGTGCCTGCATGGGGAAAGGCATGGGGTGACTTCAGAGAGAAAAGCAAAACTCTGATGTATTCCCAGGTGTGTGTGCACCCAGGGCTGGGCTGGGTGACTTTGGAGGGCATTGCTGAGAGCTGATGTGCCTTACGGCTGCTTTAGTCCAGATTTCAGCAAGGTCCCCACAGAGGGGTTGGGGTGAGAAAACCAGAATTGCAGCCAGTCTGTAGCTGGGAGCCCTCAGCACAGAGCACAGGACTGTCTGCCTGCCTCAGGGTGTCTGGTTTCCTGACAGTGTTTGAAATTGTTCCAGGGAGGATCACACAGAGCCTCAATTTATGAAGACTGGGATCCGTTCCGGTTCCGCCACATGATCCCTTTGGAAGCACTGCAGGTGCGGGCCCTGGCCAGTGCAGGTAATGTTCCCATAGCTAGAATCTGCCAGGGTCTTAGTGTGTGTGCCCCGAGGGCCTTCACTGGGCATGGAGGGAATGCTCTGGAGTTAAACATGAAGGTAGACATGAAGTTCTGCTTGGTTTCCCTTTAGATGCAGAGACCAATTCTGTGTGTGAGATTGTCCATGTCAAATCTGAATCTGAGGGCAGGCCAGAAAGGACATTTCACCTCTGCTGTAGGTAAGTGGGATTCCCTGTTTTCTGTGGCAGCTGCATCTCTGCATGCCTGCCTGCCTGCCTGCCTGTGTCCTTCAAGGCAATCTGGGAACAGGCAGTTTGGGAGAGTGGGGAGAGGGTGTTAGAACTTAACTTCTGGAAGGTAGACTTTTGTACAACCTCTGAATACAAAGGTATATAACTTGAGCAGCTTTGCACATTTATGGGAAAAGCCTTATTGCAATTTACCAGCTAAACTGCAGCATTGGATTATTGCAGCAGGTGTGTTCATCTGGTTCCTTTCATGGTACCAAGTCCCAACCTCTGCACTAAAATAAACATCCATTGTTGTGGTGGTGGTGTTTCTAGGGTTCAGGTAAGAACTTGGAACACAAGTTCATCAGGATCCAGCGGAGCTGGTGCCAAGCCAAATTCCACTTCTAGGAAGTGTTGCAGGAGCTGTGCAGCTGTGGGGTGTATTTGCAGGGACAGATGGACTGAGCATCACAGGTCACTGGATGTGTATCCAACACAGCCACGTCTGGGTAGCAGTGCAGGGAAAGGAAACCTGGAGAGGGCTGAAAGGCTGAATGTTTTATTAATGACCTGGGTGTTTGTTTCCTTGGATGCCCACTGCAGTGACCATGGATTTAGCTTTGCTTTAAAAATACTGAGTTCAGTGGAGTCTTCTCTGGGGAAGCGCCTGCCCATTGATTTGTGCTGTCTTGAATCACAGAACTGGCCATTATTTACCTCATTTACAGCCAGCTTTTAGCAGTTCTCAAGGGGTAAATCTGCCTTTTGTATTCCCACCTCTTTTTCAGCTCTCCAGAACACAGGAAGGACTTTCTGAAGGCAGTGCACTCCATCCTGCGGGACAAACACAGAAGACAGCTCCTTAAAACCGAAAGTTTGCCCACCTCCCAGCAATATGTTCCTTTTGGTGGAAAAAGATTGTGTGCTCTAAAAGGTGCAAGGCCAGCCATGAACAGGGCAGGTACTGTAGGGCTACAGACTTTCAAGATCCCAGTAACCCCAGCACCACTGTAGGACACATGGTGGTGTCTGTCACTTGTGTATTAGGATTAGCATTCTCTCCTGTGTATGTAAAAACTAATGGTTTTCCATGCTTCACTTCCTTGAGAGCCTTAGAATGCCTCTATTTCCCTTGCTTTACACTCGAGGCTCAACTTCAGAGCAGTGCTTCTGGCATGGAAGGGAGATGGGGTTCCTGGCAGTACCGATTGGCTGTGCACTTTACTCTGAGCTGGGGCTCAGCTGAACAGAGCAGAAGCTGTGTGATCCTTAAAAGCCTGAACAGAATTTTGAGGGAACCCGAGCACTTTTGAACTAAAATGCACAAGGAAAAACAGTCCCCCTGAGCTTGGTTTGAAGGGGCAACTGTGGGTGTCCTCCACCTGAGCCTTTCCAGCTCAACTGCTAAAGGGCACTTGTTCCTCCTTCCCACATTTGTTACTCCTATTTTTGTAATGGCCTGTCCTAAACCATGGATTTTCCTTTTCAGTTGGCTTCAGGGAAAAGCAGGTTTTCATTTTCAGAACTCTAGATGCTGGAGGGAAGAAACATTTGCTTCCAACCCCAAAGTACACGGCACCACTGCATGTTTTGTTCTGGTCTGTTGTTTATTTCTTGTTCTGCTCAGTAGATCCAGCACTGTAGACATCCAGGCTTTCTGCTCCTCCTCTGACCAGGGCAGGCCAGACCAGCACCAGCTGAGCCCAGCTTCTCACTCGGGGTGCTGCTGGAGATGCCAGACCTCCTTTCAGATTGGCTCAATGGGGCATTTGTGTGATGAATTCTGCAGGGATTAAAATCTAACCTTGGAGTCCAGACCTCTCCCTTCAGAAAAATTTGCAACTGCTGAGCCATTGTACTTAATGCAGCTTGTGAGGCTCAGGGATGTGAAAATGTGACCTCAACCCCAAGTCAGAGCTGGATAAATTCATTCTGCAGTGCTGAGGTGCTGTTCAGTGCAGGGGAACAAACTCTAACCTCAGAGCTCTGTGTGTGCCCCTGAAGCACTGTGGTGCCTGCAGGATTTGCCCTGCTTGCGAAGATGTTCTGACACAGAATATGGGAATTTGCTAATTGGGCCAGTTGCTGAGTAGATGCTGAGGAAGGAACTTCTGACAGCTCTTCTGGGCTGGGGGATTGTTGCTGTCCTTGCCCAGGAGGGAGATAGGAAGTAGCAGAGCCTGGACAGGGATTGTAATTCCCTGTAAATAACGCAGCATCTTCAGCACTGATCTAGTCCCTGGGATAGCTGTAGGAAAGCTGCTCTGAGTCCAGAATTCCTTCTGCAAGGTGTTGGGTTTTGTGGTGTGCTGGCAGCAGGGGCTGCGAGTGAGAAGCTGAGCTGAGCAGATGCCCTTGGTGCTGGCTGGCTGCCCAGCGCTCAGGAGAAGCAGCCATGAGGCCATGATCTGTGCCTCATTGGATTCAGAGGCCATGATCTGTGTCTCAGTGGATCCAGAGGCCATGATCTGTGTCTCGTTGAATCCAGAGGCCATGATCTGTG